AGACGCCACCCACTTTTCTAATCCAAAGCTAAGAAATCTAAGTGGGGCTTAGCTAGTGTAGGGGGAAAGGGATCAAAGCGCTGCAGGATCACTTTGATCTCTGGTTTCCCCTCCACTTGTTCTCTCCTCAGCTTACTTCCATGTATAAGACGACCCTCAATTTTTAGTCTAAAGATTTTAGACAAAAGTATAGTCTTATACACCTGGGACATGGTGGCACTGTGGGTTAAACTGCAGAAGCCTGTGCTGCAGGGTCAGAAGACCAGCAGTCGTAAGATCAAATCCCCACAACGGAGGGAGCCTCCGTCACTTGTCCCAGCTCCTGCCAACCTAGCGGTTCGAAAGCATGTAAATGAGAGTAGATAAAAAGGTACCACTTCGGTAGGTAGGTAACAGCGTTCCGTGTCTAAGTCACACTGGCCATGTGACCTCGGAAGATTGTCTTCGGACAAAACACTGGCTCTATGGCTTGGAAACGGGGATGAGCACCACTCCCTAGAGTCGAACACGACTGGACAAAAATTGTCAAGGGTAACCTTTACCTTTACCTTTTTATAGTCTTATACATGAAAAAATACGGTACTTCAAAGAGTTTGCAGTATTCATTCAGTGGGGATCTCTGTTTAAGCATCTGTACATTATCCAATGCAATTCAGGTGCTCTTTAATTGTCATGCCTGTTTCCAGTTGTGAAAAGATATTGTAAATTTACCTGTATTTATGGAAAAGGCAGCAGCTAGAAGATCCTTGTTTTGAATTTAACCTTTGAAGAGTCCACAGGGATAGGCAATATGCGGTCAACACATCAGATGGAGACCCCAGGGGCTTCAATATGCCCCAGCACTCTACATAAACTAGCCAACATTTTTAAAAAGGAAAAGAAAAACAAAGAAAAACCTGTTTTGCTCAAAATGTCCCCCTGTGTCCTCTAGAAGGAATGGGCTCAATTTTGCGATGTTTTGAGGGGACACAGCACCCTACACCTTGCCTCTCCACACACAAGCAAATTTAAACAATATTGACCATAAGAGGGTTTTTTCCAGTTTTAAAACATTATAGGAAAAATGGATGTGGGGGACCTCCAGAGATGTGGTCTCCAGATTGCTGGAGCTTGTCATCAGATGGTTAAAAGGGCTGAATTAGGAATCAAAGAGACTCAGGTGCAAATCCCACACAGCAATGAAAACTATTTGATGGATTTAGGCTAGTTGCTATTTCTCAGCTTGCTCTACCTCACAGGATGGTTGTGAGAGTACAAATGGGGAATGATCCTGTGTACACCATCTTCACCTTGGAGGAGAGATGGGGCACACATATAATAAACAGGGAAAAATAATTTCTTTTCTAGATATTCCACTTAATTTACATTTCTACCCCCATGAATACAGTTCTTGTATATGTAATTTTAAAAAATTCTGTTCCCAGTTATTACCATGTTTAACTTCCTCTGCTATCAAACTTGGCCTGCACTAAAAGAATCTTTTATGAGAGAGGAGGAAACTGCTTTGGGGCAAGATAGTCTGAAATAACAACAATTTCCTTTATCAGTTAAAACAGGGGTGAATAATTTGTAGCCATTCCAGTTTTGTGGGCCTATAATTCCCATCAGACCTGGCCAGGCTAGCCAACACAGTTTTTCACTGTTTTTAACTCATGCCCCTTTTGACAAACATAGTATCTTACACTTTCCTTCAAATGCCTATAATTTCATTTTAGGTGTGAACGATCACAACTAGAAACAAATCAGAGTATTTGTAAATACAGAAAAAAGTATTTTGGTTTATTTATCAGTAAAGTGCATTATAAAAATTAATTTCATAGCATCAGTTCAGTTCTGACTAATGGCAAGTCCTCCCAGAGTTTTCTATGGATATCATACTCAGAAGAGGCTTCACCAATTACTTTTTCTAGAAGCACACTAGGACTGTGCAGGTTGTCTAAGGCTACACAGGCTGGCCTTTTCCAGAGAGTCACAGTGAGGAATCCAACTTCTAACCCCTGGTTCCTGTTCCAGATCACTCAGCTCTCCAGCTATGGGGCATCACACAAAGATGCAATAGGCTACATAGGCATCATGATTTTTCTCTATTTTCTAATTTTTAAAAAGAGCTACAACGCTGCATTTTCCTTTGTCAAACTTTCTGTAACCTCCATAAAATCCTGACATGCCCCGCAGAGGGGAGGCATTGCTCGATTGCTAGCTTAAAGGTTGATAATTACTACCAGTGTAGTTCTAACCATCATCTTCCCAATGCAAGAGCGTTTTCAGAAGTCACTACATTAATAATGGTGGATGCCATAGGGGGGCTTGAAGGCCTAACATTAGAAGAAAAAGAAGAAGGAAACCTCTCTTTTTTCTCTACATCACACTTCTCTCCCATGGTTCCTTTTGCAATTCTCTTCCTGCTTCTCTCCGCACAGACTCCTTTTCCTTGTGCAATCTCGCTTAAGGCCTTTCCCTCTGCCTCTGAACTTTCAATTTCAGCATGATCTTTACTTTTTGGTTTTAAAGTTCTGCTCCCTCACCGTCTCCCTGACTTTACAGATACTACAACCACTGCCAACGGTTGCTTAGAGCCTGAATTCAGCATAAAAAGATGAGTGCATTTTACATGTTGTTTATTTAAAACAACATGTAAAATGAATGAACATAAGCTGTTGTAGACAATAGGTGATCTCTGGTCCACTTCTCAATGTGCTGTAGTCCTGGGTCCTTTGAGCTTTACGGAGGGGTCTTGTTCAGTCATTCCTGAACATACTGTGTGTGTGTGTGCAGAAGAACTGGGGCAATTGAGGGCTGCTTGTGGTCCACAGGCTGAGAAACCCTAGCTCAGTGGTTTAAGTATCTGGCTGCAGAGCCAGAGGTTGGGAGTTCAATTCTCCACTGTGCCTCCTTGACAGGGGCTGGATTCCATTATCCCTAGGTCCCTTCCAGCTGTCCAGTTCTAAGATGATGGTGGTGGCAATGATAATGAAACCAAAACTGGGTATGCAGAGCACATGCCCTACCACTGAATTACTAGAGCTGTTCTCTGGTACTCAGCAAGATTCCTCATAAACTGGGGGGAATGGGTTTATGTTAATTTTTGTGTGGGACTGGCCAGAACCTTTCCTGTTTCTGTGTTAAGCTGCTTCCCCAGAATAACAGGCAGCTTTCCAGAGAACCAGCACATGTGCGTCAGATGCTGCCAGCAGCTGACCACCCTAGGAAAGGTCAAGAACAGTGGAACTGTGGGTAGCCAGGGGGAAGAAACCATGGGCCCCTTTATGTAGCCCCAAAACAAAACTTCATCTCCTGCCAATAGGGTAAAATAAGGCGCTTAAACTAGGGATCAGCACAATCCTCTTTCGGGTTCATGCACATCTGGATAGACCCTATAGGGGAGGGGATGCGTTCTTGTCGGCGTTTCGCGAAACCAGTCATCAACCTCACGGCACTCTTCTTGTACCAACAACGGAATATCCGGCTGCAGCCGTCAAAAGATAGTGGTGCACGACCCTTCGTTAGCGGTGCACGCTCTCGGTGCGTCCTCTAAAAGCAGGCAATCCCGCTAAGCTGTCTTCTTTGAGGTCACACGATCAAATTCACCAGCCGGCTCCCAGAAAGCAGCCCCGGCACACCCGTAGCTCTCTGGATCCGCCGCCCCCACCGCACCCCGCAAGCCTACCCCCTCAAAGGCTCTCTCTCTATATATATTTCAACTCATCGCATGCCATCGTCCTGGAGACACTTCCTCGCCCGCCCCCGGGCGCTTCCATACCACCTCGCTCGCTCCCAACGCTTCCCTGCCCACTTCGCCTGCCCTTGCACCAAAAGCGAGAGACCCGATTTTCTGCGATCGCCAAAGGAAAGTCGTTTTGGGGACCCGGCAGCGGAACCATTCTTTCCATTCGTCTCGAAAAAGCCAGATCCCCTGTCCTTACCCCCCCCACCACCACCACCACCCACACACCCGCACCCCGCGCGTCCACTACTACGGGGATGAACATCGATTTTAAGCTGTCCCACGCATCCCGA